TATCGGACTGCGACAATGGCATTTCTCCCATCAATCTACAACCGTTCCTCCGAACTATCTTGGTCTATTCTTACACCATCCCTTAAATCGGGAAGTTGGTTGCTAATTTTAAAAGCCATCAAATCAGAAAATAACTGCGGCATATCTTAGTTGTGACAGCTCAGAATTGCGACAAATAACAATGGACGTGAAGAACAGTTAACTGGGTTTTGTTAGGTAACAGTGGTCGATTTTACCAAATGACCTTGAAGAGGTCTCTAAGTGTGACTACAACTCATGGGCGTCTGAGCATTAATTGGATTGCTAGAATAGTGTTGCCTGGGGAAGTCATACAGTTGCAGTGAGCTGTCAGGCTAGCGTGTTTGTATTTGGAAATGACAACCTACCACAGGTTGCCTTTACGCTACATGTGAGCCGGCGAAGTTAGGCAGCACAAAAGTGGTAACTTTGTAGGTCCCGCTTCGATTATCCACGTTCCCAGTCAGTCCCGCCAACAGGAGGCGTGATATCGGGTTAATTTTGAAAAAGGAAAATTTTCGAAATGTGTTTGTCCGCATTTGGAGACGCAATCTGCTACAACTGGAATTGCCGCATTTAGTGATGCGGTAGTCGGATATTCAAAGGCACCTTTTAACCTATTGGTTAAGTGTGTTCTAAGAATGGAACACCACAGTGTACCCACCAATAAGACGTCACGCAATCTCTCGTTTTGGATGACCTGTTCAAGTACGCCATGCCACGATTAATTCCAGTCAACTGTTGCCAATTAGCCAGTGCTTCAATAAGGAATGCTTACTTAAACAGCAAGTGATTATTTGACATTCGCGTAGTCACTTGTGTTGTTTCTACCAAGTGTGTTATTTCTCCGATTCTAAAGCTACAGATCAGTTAACCTGCAGGTCAAATGAGCCAGCAGATGTATGTACTCAGCCAATAGCGAAAGGCCCGTTCTACGAAGCTGCTGGCTTCATCTACATAACATGAACAATTAAGCATCACAAAGCAACTCGCTGAAGCACATGTGACTTTAATAGATCCGTTGTGGACCCCAGCATGTGGTCTTGAACCACGCCGGGGCCACTGATGTTAACCCTGGCCCGACTACGCTTCCTTGATAACCAAGATGAAGAGAAAGATCGGAGAGGACGTGAACACAACCGCTTACTTCAGAGCTCAACCAAATTGGTATCGTGTCGTGTGTGGGGCTCGCGGTTGTGTATTTATGTCTTAGATGTGTGAGTTATACATGCGCTAGCATCGAGACCTAGGTGTGAGGATAATACAAGATAAATATTCGTGCGGATGAGGGGGGAGTTGAGGATCCGCGCGGCTGGCGACATGCTGCGAAAAGGGGAGCCCTGTGTCGGAGGATGGAGCGACCAGATTAAGGGGTGGGAATAAACACGAGTCCCAACAGATCCTTGCAAAACACCAAATAGCGGTCAGAGTATCAGGCAAGTTGTTAGTTTATTGTGAAAATTTGGGTATCGTGTAAACTCACTATTATGACATTGAGGTGCGTGCTGTAAGCGAAGCGAATGCGACAATACTCCGGTTTTAAAGTACAGCACAATCGTACGTCAGCTCTGTATGTTTGTCTATTTCGAAAATGCGGAATTTCAGACTGCAAACGAAACTACCCTTAGTCATCCCTAAGCTTCCATCTGACTCGGTACGTGATCCGTTGCATCATTAGCTACTGTCATGTAATTAGAGGTGTTCCGAATTTGTTTCTCAGACACACTGGCAATCAAGAAAGGCCACTTTTTCCGAATGAAATTTGCCATTTAGTTGCATGCATTAGAAGCCAATTTTGGAAAAGAAACAAGACTACACGAATACATTTTGAAACCTAGTTCGGTTTTCTTAAAACCACAATTTCAAGAGGCTTTTAGTAAGATATCCGACACTTGCACCAAGAATTTTGGCATCTTTAGCACTTTACATTCGTTCGGACTGAAATAATTTACTGCGTTGTTATTGTAATTGCTTAGAGCTGGTTTGATGAATCAGTGGTTGCTGAAATCATCGCCTAACCTGACCCTCACATGAGTGTATGCTCAACTGTTCAATTACCTAGGTCCGTTTGAGCAGAGTAGCTTTAATTCGATTATTGTCACCTCTTTAGACATGTACCAGGAAAGGACGTGGCTTAACGCATCAGCCAATGACAATAACTTCGTTCACTTAAATCAAGTCTAACGGGGATGGTACTTATCCACTGGTTGTTAGGGCTACCTAGAAAACCAAAATCAGTAAGAAAACTCAAGGCCCGGTAACTTGCAACAAAATCTCGGCGTCCTACACAGCCAGGTTTGAAAATTTTCCCCTAGAATCCCCTAGAATTCAGTGTGAAGTAATGAGTTTTGTGAAAGTCCAGTTTCAGTTAAGGCCGGCGATAGGAACACTTGATAGCCGTTATGAAGGTATTTAATGTTAAAATCAAGAGGACGGTATGATCGGAAATGCATCTGACCGGGAAGGCTGAAATTCTATCCCTTTATACAAGTAAGTTTTATTTCACTCAAATTGTGCCCCTTGAGATGCACACCCTAATTCACCTTGTCGAGAAACAATGACCCAGTGTAAAAACCATGTGTGCTGATTTGCACAAGAAAAGTCCCATCGCCAAGTTATTGTTAGGCAGGCGTCAGTGATTGGGCCTGAATTTCTTCTCCCGCTAAAAGTTGTACAGCTGCGCTTTTGGTCAGAGCGATTTTCCTTAAGCCGACAAAAGACCCCGGCCGATGTGAGTGGTTGCTACTAGCACATTACACCATTCTAATTAGCCGGTGGATTTCACCTCCACACGAAACCGTTTAACACCTGATGATAATAACCCTCTGCTGTGCAGTCGTTTGAACCAGGTGTCTTGCTTTGTCGTCCGCTTGAAATCAATATTGTCCCGGGGTCCTTCGAAATGATTTTGATTGGGTAAATGACAGTAATGTGCTTATTTATTAGGAGTTTTTCATGACTTCACTGAGTCTGGGGTGTGTGTATTGTTAACAGTTGGCCCCAAATAAGCTCTCCGCCCATTTTCATCGGCGTGCAGGCCAATTTTGCCCCTAGAATCAACAACTTCTAAATCGGGTTTTTTGTTTGCAGACGCCAGATTTTCATTGGTTGTTTGGCCTCTTGATTGATCTCATCGATCGGCGATGCATTGTTGTGTCTACGACTTCGTCTTCATTCGACACTTCACCTCAATTTAAGGAAATGGGTTTTGCCTTGCACTACCAAACTCCCACAAATCAAGAAAGTATTCATTGAAGCCTTCTATAAGTTGCAGCAACTCATGAAGATATGTTGTTTTTTCATAAATCTATGGCGAGGGTTGGGGTTAATGGAGACGAATTCTTCGAGGCCTTAACTGTGATTTCATCAATTTTAACATTCCAAAAACACAGCAAATCCTTGAAGGCTCCATACGGTGATAGCAGATGTTTTATGTCCCAGGAATGCCTATGACTGCGAATCTAGTTGAACGATTGCAAATCTTTCATTTAACTATGGAATTAAAAAACCAACATTCCGAAGGGTTATTGATCTGCCAAGCGATAACGCATCCATGCCCGTTTTTCTCGAGTCGCACTAGTTGCGAGGTGAAACCAATTCACGTCTCTCTGAAGAAAACTGTCTCGGGAATACACTATGAAGGAAGCTGTGGAAGTGTTTTAACGACACTAATTGGTATAGTTAGCATGAAATTTTTTGACGGACAACCTCAGGCACTTAGTACTTGTTTGTAAAAAGCCAACTCATTCAGACACCTAAGGGTGGTATGGCCATTTAAAAGGCTCTGGTGTTTTTGAACTGGCAGACTAGTGTTCAACATTTCTATCTATCTTATCAAAAGAAAGATCATGTGAACTGGTAGGGCGCTTCCGTAGCCAGGAAAAAATCATCCATCTTCACGCATTCACTATCTTCTAACTAGTTTAATCCGACAGCTTCCACACCAGTCTTGTCCAGCGACTTAGTGAAGAAGGATACTACCATCAAATTAACTGTACCTGTCTTCTAGACAAACATTTTAGTCTGTTGAGCAAGTTAGTGATGGGAGATCCGAAGGCCCTAGGGGCCTTTAGTCCAGTGAAGTTGAATCCACCAACACCGATTCCATCACCATCTCGCAAATTTCAGCTTCTACCAGACATCCTTTCTTGAAATGATGTCGAAAAGGCTCCATAAATGTCTAATGGTAGACGCTGTAACTAAAAAAATTCTCAATCGACACGAGGAGAAGAATTCTTGAACTAGCAATACCAATGTTGCTTTTCTGAATTCTCGCTCCCTACCAACCAGTGGAAACCATCAGAAATAATAATCTGAATATCAGATATTTCTGTCCTTTTTAGAGTAAATTTATCAGCAATCGAGCCAACTCAACCCTGGCCGAGACCGCGCAAGATCCTGCAGCCACTGGAGCTTAGCAGAATGCCATCTGTGAAGTCACAAAATTTCCGGCGACAAGGAAGAAGGTACATAGTTAAGTTGACCTTCCTTCTCTCCATCGTTGTCGCAGAACGAGTCATGATACAGGAATTCTCATTGAAGGAAAATCGTAAGGTCCGTCTTCTGCTTACAAGCGTACTGCTTCGTGCTAGTCTGATTAAGCGATGCATTTGACTATCAAATCCATCCAATGGAGGCGTTTACAGTCAGATAGCGAATACCCAGGCTTGACACCTTCCCACCATTCTACCACCCAACAGTTAAAACACACCACAGCCATGTTTATCAGGAAGCCATGTTTCATGTATATTGACATATGAGGTATAAATGCACATAAGAATGGACAGTACGTGGGTGTGTGCGTGTGTCGATTTTGTGTGTTTTTAGGTGCGTGTGTCGGCTTTTGAGCACACACAACCGCATGGGAAACATACAAGATACGGGTGAGGAAAAGCACATGATGAGAGAGTTTATACAAATTCCCACACCGGAGGTATGAGAAGGGGTTTGCGTGTGTGTGTGTGTGTTGGTGTGAGTTCGTGCTAACATGAGGCATTGAGTGAGAGGTCGATGGCTGTGCCCGTAGCTGTGGTTGCAGAACCAGCTGCGGCTTCACCTTGAGCGGAAAAGAGCCGTTCGTAGAGGTTCTCATTTAGGCGGCCATCAACGAAGGAGGGGATGTCGGATTTTCGCAGCCTCTTGGACGGTGGAGGCGCTAGGAAGTTGTGCGCTGCTCCCATGAAACCAGGTGGCTGTAGATCATCAAGCATAGGCGGCTTCCGGTCATTCGGTCCCACCCCATTAGTTCGGCCGAGGCTCGCCAAGAAGACTTCGTTGAAGGAGAAGGGTGGAATGCCCTCCACCAGGTTCTGCACAGAATGAGCCAGTGGAGAACCGCCAAGTTGATGTGGCGAAAGGTCGGGAACAACGGGAACGCGGGGCCCGTCTAGATCAAAGGCCGTGCGAGGTGCTTGAGACGGGAATGTGGAGGTCACGGAGGGGGAGAGGTATGCCGGGGTATCGGTGGCCGGAGAGAAGGTGAAGGGGATTTGGCTGCTGACGGGCTGGCTGCAATGCCGTCCACTGGTACTTCCACTGCTCCAACGCAGACCGGGACTACTGTTGAGGTTCATGAAAGCCGAGGAGGACTGGCTCGCAAACGACGGCAGCGATGGTTGACGCGGCTTCCCCAAAAATGTGGAACCACACGAGGATTGGATTGGATGGGTTGAGGTGAAAGTTGAGGTCGAATTTGCCGAGCACTTAAGCTGGTGCCGATTCACAGCGCTGATACACGTGAATTGCTTCCCACAGATGCGACACTGCATTTCAGATGTGCGCAGATGGAGCTGCAGGTGGATGATCTTCATGTGGTAGCGCATGCTGCTTTTTATGTCGTACATTTTGCCGCAAAACTTGCACTTAAACACCTTGCGTCCGTCAACGATGCGCTCACACTCGTCAATGAGGGCATTAAGTCGGTCGGAGTGGGTAATTTTCCAATTCTTCGGGGGGCACCCAGCAGAGGAGGTTAGATCAGGAAGGCGTTTAGGGGAAAAATCGACATCGGGAATCCGCGAGAAAGGCTGGCCAGTAAGAGACACTAGAGCCCCTAAACGGCGCTTGTCTTTCCTCGGTGAAAACACCCCAGCTGCCATATTACTCTTTGGTGATTGGGTGGAGGAGGAGGAGTTGTGTGTGGTGAGCGTTGGAGCGGAAGAGCATTGGGGATAGGGTGGATTTGGCACAATAACGAGATCTTTGGGGGTGTGGAGGCTCGATGGTCCTTCTTCAACAGATTCTTCCTTCATTTTTGTTAGCCATACAGAGGGCATCGGAGCGTCGACGGTGTCCTTGCCACTGCTTTGAGAACCCGACTCGTATTGGTCAGAAGATGGCAGCTGGGCCGCAGTTAAGTCAATCGCCGACACATCTGGCCTTTGTTCTTCCGGTGCACTACCGTGTCCGGATTTTCCTCTGCTAGCAGTGGAAGACTCCTACACAAAAAAAAGGTGACTACGTGTTAAATTATGTTTCCTTTGGAAAGCACAAACCCGCAATGATTAGGCCCAACTGGCTTGGCTGTGCATTCTCCTGGCACGCCTTCAACATGGTTGGAAAGGCTCAGTCAACGCACGTGTCCGCAGGCAGACATGCACACGCGTAAGGGCCGACTGAAGATATTCGGCACCCAAAAAAAGGCGAGTTTTCAATACACAGGGTTTGAGAGCGAAAGAGATCAGAAAAAAAGGCGCGAAATGCCAGTGTTGAAACGCGTGTGCCTGCCACCGTGTCTCGGAGGGTGCACGAATTCCAGCTTGTGCGCGCCCCCCCGGTCAGCCTTCACACCCCAACCCCGCTCGTGGCAAGAAATGTAATCCCCGTTTTTTGGCATGTCACCCAGAAACACATTATTCGTCTCGCCATTCGGTGTCTCTGCTTCTGCCGCCACCGCCGCCGCCGACGCTGCCACCACCTCTCGGTTTGATCAAAAGATGATCGGACACACAAACAAGGTCCTACAGAGGGTGTGTTTGTGCCCGTACGCGACCGTTGTTTTTATAAGACTGGGTGTGCACACGTACAAAGGAGGCACATTCCCTGCCCTCCCCAGAATCTCTTTCTACACACACACACACACAAGCAAAATGCGAGAAAAATGTGCTTCGACACTTTGTGCGCGAAGGGAATAACTTGGTGCCGTCGCAAAGCCGGCAACCTACTCCAGTGACAGAACACACTTTTAATTAAAAATGTGTCCGCCTGTGCTTGTGGGCATCACGCAATTACAGGTTAAATATCAACGGAAATTAAACCCTGCCTGTTTGCCATTTACATTATAAAGACACGGTCGAAGCCCTCATGTCGCCTTTCTTTTCTTCCCAGTTACGAAAAATTAGTGCGACAATGTGCGTTCATTCCAGCTAAGTTAATTATCGCGGCAGGAACAACATTACTTGGGTGGTTTCGGCGGGTAACTTAGGTTCCCGGTACAAGACGGTTTCAATGTACCTACACTGGAGAGCAGATTGAAAGTCATTGCAAACGCCAGGTTTTTGGGACAAGTTGCCGTCTTATTATGGGCGCCGTCAAATGGGGTTTTAAGGTTTGGTTTGTGAGTCTTAAATCTTGTGTCTATCAATGTTAGCGACATGCAGACGCCATATTTATGAAAACGAGTGTTGCCATTAGCAGACTAACAAACAAGGATGCGAGCGTCTGATTGTTGCAGATCCTTGTTCTTCCACTTTAAAGCATCGGGATTTTTGCAGATTCTGCTTATCTGATTCCGCCTCTAAGGACTAAATAATTAGAAACTAACCAAGAGCTATAGTTATTGAAAAGGTAAGAAAAAAAACCCTACGCCAGGAGTAAGAGCAAAGCAGGTGTTCTGTTATCACCTTTAAGCTGAAAAATAAACTGTTTTCCTGCTGCTCTGAATTGGTTGTTTATTTGAAGAGTAAGTACCAGGAGTCCACAATATATGTACTTCTTTCAGATTGGTTTCAAGTCTGTCTCCTAATTCTACCAAGAATACGAAGAAGCAAACCAGCGCAAATGACAAATCGCCTTCCAGAATGGAAGCATCGAAGGAGGGAGTCGATCCAGAAGTGGTAGTGGGAAGTCAACGAGAATCGGTGACGGGACGCGCACAAACAGACACGCACGCACGCACACCCCCACGCACGTCGACCGGCAACCGGGCGACCCAGAAGGCAGTCCAGTCGGCGGAGGTGGTGGTGGCGGTGGAAGCAAAACACCGCAGTCTGCACAAATCTGCCTTTTTTCGCACCGTCACGTCATCTTTTCCCATTAAAATAAAGTTACGTTTCCCTCCTGGGTTCGCCGAAGCCCCGATCACTCATCCCGCCCCCCCTCCCCCTCTCTGAGTGGTAATTGGGGGGTGGTCCCCTAACGCAGTGTTTTCCTAAGTGTGTGTGTGTGTGTGTGTGTTGAGCTAAGGTCGGAGCGATTGCGTGTGTGTCCGTGTAGGTCGGCCCACGTGCGCGAATGGAGCGCGGACAAACTGCACGAAAATTAAGTCGAAAGACAGCGAGTTCTCCTCTCTAATGGACAACCTGCGGTGCAGTGGCGATCCCTTGAAATCACTTCAAATTCGGCCTAGTCAGGTTGTGTATCTCGAAACCCATGGTCATTAAAGTCATTTATCGATTTCTAATTTGTGCGCAGTTTAGCGATATCGGCAACACATGGTATCCTCTCCAATTAGATACTCATCATATATTTCCGATTTGACCGTGGATTCAGTGTCAGACTGGCTGATTATTAACCCCTAAACTATTCACTTCAGAACTACGTTATGAACGACTAAGTCTTATTCGAGGCCAAAGGAACATGTTGGGGGTATGGTCAAGTTTCCAATTTGGAATACCGACACGCTATTGGGTTGTAAATGCAGTCGAGTCAACGTCCAAGTCCACGATTGGCAGAGATGTCGTTATTGATTTGTTTGAACATGAACCGCAAATACGCGCACTTATAAAAACAGGTTCAAGAATAATTGTCGTCAATATTCACTATTTGGCTAGCTTAGGAATATAAAAGGAATCATATTCCACCAATTGCCTCAATCAGCATGATAAAAACCCATGTCAGTAGCGCATACAATAAAAAAGGTTTGCCACGAATTGCCATCTTTGAAAACACTTGTGCAAAATGTGAGGGAGATGGGGTCGCCATAAAAATAAAAAGGAGGTAGACTTGAATGTGTGTCACCACGATTCGAGATTCAGTGATGTTGAAAGCACTTGCTTTTACTCAGAGATCGATTAGGTCAATTTAGTTCACGATAGGTCGTGAGTTGGTGAATCTACGTCCTACCAGACTACCACGGGATTTCGACAGAAACATCCCTTGAGTACACACATAGATTTTTGTGATTGCCCAAAATCATTCGATTTTTATTGGCGTTTATCATTTTTTTCATATTTTGGACTTGATTCTTGTAGACAGACATCTAAGCTAACAAATCATTTGAATTTCTGTCAGTGTCGCAGTGCAGATGGATAGGAGTGTAATTTAGCTCACGCTGACTAGTCTAGACATACATGCATGAAAGATCCCTGATAGCTCAATAAGTCCTGATTGAACGACTGATTCCACATCACAGCAAATGTGACGCAAGCAGCCCATGATCTATGCAGACGACGAAAGTGCTTGTCTGGAAGAAGTGCCTACTACGCCAGCTTCCTGGAACACACACTTAATGTAACCTCTACCACCTTCGTCGTTATGATTGGCTATTTTTTTTATAAAAACTCCTAATAACACTAAAGCAAGCGTTTCCAGTTGCCTGATCAGCAAGAAATAGGTCATTGTAGACCTACCACCAAATCAAGACCTTCCTTACCAGCTTAACAGGCATCGCATTCTATCAAAAATGCTTATTAATAAGATTTGTGGTAGGCAGAGAAAGAAAAAAAACTCAATGAGGGGCAGTTTCACCTCGAAGTAAGGAGAACAGCGTCACGGATTCGCGCGCACGCCCGAAGAAATCTCATGGGACAACGCCACTTTCGCGGTGGTGGCAAGAAGCGGGAATTAAAAATTCAACACCCACCTTGCTCCTCCATTCCCACCTTTTGGCACCCATTACAAAATAAACCATCCCACCCGGCCTCTCCCCACTCCCTGAAAATCAGTAAACTGTTCCCCCATTTCGCACCCGCGAACACCACCTAGTTTGACAAAAGAAGAGGTTTGACAGCATGAACACGTCCAACACGTCTACTGAGCTGTTGAGGTCTCGACGCGTTTTCTCGTATCTCCCATCTTCTTGCGTCAACTGGGCAAACGAGGAGCGTTAATTATGCATCTTCTCTAGGGGCTAGAGAAGTGGAATGCCTTGGGGCCGCAATCCCTCGTCCACTTCCCCAAATGCACCCACAAAATGTGATATAATAAATGCTACGGAAGGACGGCAATAAAACCTCATGAATGGGAAACTACCTTTGCCCCATGGGAAAGTAGTGGCACCCCCAAAGGGACGCGCCTCCCGTTAAGCACTCCAGGGGACCATATACCTCCATGTTTATACACTCGTTTATGCGTTGGTTGATGTATCGTTTCGTGCTTTGGTTATACGTTTGATAAAACCTTACTAAACCCGGTGGATAGAAGGACATTGGTGTGTTTCGGCCAGTGTGTTTTGGGCCATTAACGTTGGTCATGGGTTTGACATGTGGACCTACACGACACAATCATCCAATTTATTGGCTGCAGATTTCTTTATACTACTCTGGACATGAAATTCCAAGTTTAGATATATTCTGGCCCCAGCACAGTTAATATGACCCCCTGGCAGTTGATCGCATAGGTCATGTGAGTAAAATCCGGATTTTTTGGTTGTTAAAAAGGAAGGACTAACAATTTGACAAATTGTGGAAAACCAAATGAAATGATTTTGTTGAAATACCAAATCCGGACCTCATAATGTGTGTAGAAGAAGAAGAAGAAGAATGACCGCCGAATTCCCACACGTCGCGGAGATTTGAGCCCGACTAGTTGTCGAAACGAATGACATGCAAACGCTTCGCTGAATTGGCGATAAGCATAAAGCGTTCGCATTAGGGAATTCAAGAAGTCATTGGCAGATCAGCACTCCCACTGACGTGGCTGTCTGACATTAAGACTGCGTCAAGCGAAACCGTCCTACACGCATGCTTAACTCCAAGACGTCTCATGTCATGTGTTTCCACAGATGTATACATACTTTAGTAGGTTGGTCAGGTATGTAACAACATTTGTCACGTGAATTCCATGTCCGAAATGCCTGCAACCTGTAACCGGTAAATCTTCAACAAAGCACCTTCACAGCGACCCTCTCTTTGTCAAAATGTCTGTAGATTGGGCTCCATGAGTCAGGGACTCAGGTATGAGGAAGGTGGCTACATCGCTGGAGGTATACCCGCAATCAACTTCAACCATTTAACTGAAGATGAGTAAATGGAATCCACTCTTAACTGAGCGAGGTAACTATAGGCTAAGTGGTAAGGCCTAAGGGCAGTTTACCATATTGCTTCATGGAACCACGTCTTTTTGGCGAAAAAGTAAACATTTTTGGGCCTAATCACCAAATCCCAGGAGTATTCTGCCGTTGTGTGACTTTAATCGGTGGTTCCCACATCAAATTGGGGGCGAATTATATCGGGAACATCATCCACCCATTGATCAAATTCACAAGTTCCAAAGTAGATATGTGACACTTCGCGTAAGTGCAGCTGGATTGATGTAAATGCAAGGGAGTTAATTTGCGCCTGATCATTTGTGGCCGGCAAAGACAGCGGCCTCAAAAAGGATGTTACCCGTCAAGACCAAGTACTGCATTTCCCTGTTCTCCGTAATGTTTACTGTGGATTGCGTAATGAATTGCCTGGAGCCTTGCCTATTACGGCTATCGGTTTCAACAGTTGGATGCCTTCGCCACAATAGCAGTAAAACATAATTCGGCTTAAATGGGAAGAAAAATAAGGATCCACACGCAAAAAAACACGCATATCTGACACCCCTAATGGGTCACCCTGACCACTGGCAGGGTGGCGGTAATTATAACCCGCCGTCGGCATCTTTATTGCCTGCGGTTTGTATCGCACTTTGTTACACTTACCGGCCTCAGACATACTACGGCCGCCTGATGTGATAATGATTGTTTAAAATTTTGTGCGTGTGTGCGCTAATAACGAGCCGGGTCGGACGCGCAGCCATAAAAAATTCTGGCAGTCGTGTTTTTCACCTGTTACCGCACGGAGCGGCAACCCTCGCCTCTATCCCCCCCTCCCCCTAGCGCTCTCTCTCTCTTACCCTCTTTCTAATAGAGGGGGGAGGGGTGAAAATGGCAGGAGTAGGAGGAGGAGGAGGTGAGGTGGTGGGGGCGGTGGGTTGGTGCGACTGTAACAAACTCCCCGTGTGTTTGTGTGTTGTTCTGCCGTGCGCGCACGCGCACCACAGCCCCTGTTTGATCTTCCCGGTGGTCAGGGCGCGTTATGCTCCCACGCGGGAACTGGGGGAAGAGAGGGTGTGTGTGTGTGTGCTGTAGAAAGTTTCAGATGGGTAGAATTTCGTCGGTCACAATCTCACACGTGCTGCCCCTAATTTGTTTGGTCTTTTCTAGAGGCAGCTGATAGATTACCCCACAAAGTCTTTTTGAAATTACATTCGCTAAAGTGTGTGTTTAGGTTACCTCTAGAATGCTGAGTGAGAATTTGTCAAATGAAACAGACTTGCCAGTACTCTGGTTGCCATATTCATGAAGGCAAAGCATTTAGTGGGGGTGATTGGAAGTCTACTTTCAGTGTTTTTAATTAAAGTCAGCAAAGCCACGATAAAGAAAACGTTTACTCGTTAACATAAACTTCGCTGAAAATGGCACAAATCAGTTAATGTGACATCCGGAACGATAAATGAAGCCACACAGTGAAAGTAATCTATCGTAACGTCCGGTTTCAGACGGGTTTCGATAGACTGGTTTGCCTAGCCACGGTGAGAACTCACACCACAGAACTCCATCTAGTGCATCAATAGAAAAGCGGCTTCTCAAAAGCCACGTTTGGAGTGAGTGCTTCTGTGGGGATAGGCCTAGTAGTGGGGGAATTTGAATTAAGTAGATTTAGAGTAGATATATTCGGCTGTAGAAGCTGCGATGTGGTTCTCAAACCGCGAGAAAGACAGCACGGAGCTCAACCGGGTTATTGTTACAGTAGGAGCGAGGTCTTCTATCGTGACGAGGCTTCAGGTTGAATAGGAACTCTTGATTTCTAAGTGAACGTCGGTCTGTGACGTGAGTTTAAGAACATTAGTGAGCAATTCAGAACAAATCTCACGTGAATTTGGTGATCGCTGAAGCGGTTTACGCAGAAATACTCCCCGGCCA